TTCCATTATCATCCATATGTTTATCCAATGACCATTTAAATGCCCTTAAAGTGGGCGGGTCTACTATTTTTGCAGGCAGGGCATTCCACGCCCTTACTACTCTCTGAGTAAAGAACCTCCCTCTGACATCTGTCCTATATCTATCACCCCTCAATTTAAAGCTATGTCCCCTCGTGCTAGCCATCACCATCCGAGGAAAAAGGCTCCCAGTGTCCACCCTATCTAATCCTCTGATCATCTTGTATGTCTCTATCACCTCTTAACCTTCTCTCTAACGAAAACAGCCTCAAGACCCTCAGCCTTTCCTCATAAGACCTTCCCTCCATACCAGGCAATATCCTGGTAAATCTCCTCTGCACCCTTTCCAATGCTTCCACATCCTTCCTATAATGCGGTGACCAGAACTGTACGCAATACTCCAAGTGCGGCCGCGCCAGAGTTTTGTACAGCTGCAACATGACCTCATGGCTCTGAAACTCAATCCCTCTACCAATAAAACCTAACATACTGTACGCCTTCTTAACAACGCTATCAACCTGGGTGGCAACTTTCAGTGATCTATGCACATGGACACCGAGATCTTTTTGCTCATCCACACTACCAAGAATCTTACCATTAGCCCAGTACTCTGTATTCCTGTTACTCCTTCCAAAGTGAATCACCTCACACTTTTCCGCATTAAACTCCATTTGCCACCTCTCAGCCCAGCTCTGCAGCTTATCTATGTCCCTCTGTAACCTGCAACATCCTTCCGCACTATCCACAACTCCACCGACTTTGGTGTCATCCGCAAATTTACTAACCCAAATGTTTAAATGTTTAATGTTTAAATTTTGATGAATTCTTCAACAAATGTAAGAATCTGGGAGAGGGAATGTGTGATTGTGATGCAACCCATTAGAATTATGTTTAAAATCAACATTTTAAGACATTTTTCCTAAAGAAAACAACTTTAACCCTTGCTTCAGCCATTAATAAAAATTGATAATAAATATTCTGAAATGCCCTATGAAATATAAATGCATCATGGTTCACAAAATGTTGAAACAAAACCAAAATATTGTCACCATAGAAATCTTTCTCACAATGGAAATTATATTTGCTCTTAAATATCTCTTTTTAAAAAAAACGCAATTATATGCTGAAAATATACCCAACTTGACAGGTTTTCTTGGAACTGACTTTCTCCTTCATTTTTGAGTGTTGAAGTCTCTCTCATCTAGCATTAAGTTGATTCAGTTGCAGTATTGCTAACCATTTGAGAATTATAGCACATTTAACCTTGTACAGAGTACAGTTTAAATACACTTATATAGGTTTACAATTCCTGTGAATGGCGTATTGTTGAACCACTCTGCATAAATATTTAACATAAGGAAATTACTACATTATTGTTTGTGAAAGTTTTTAAGATACATTACTATTACTATTCATTTAGCAAACATAGAGGAAGTCTTTAGATTGGGTCCTTATTTCAAAACATAAGTTTGTGCAAATTGCAAAGATGTGTGGTTCTGCAAAAAGACGTAATCTTTACAACCTCAAAGCAGCCGATGAAGTATGTCAAATTGCACATAGTAAATTCTAATAAACAGCAATTGTGATAATGCCCCACTGTTGACAGAAGGGTACTGGGAAGATCTCTTTATTTGAAATATAATATGGTGGCTCAGTGGTTAGCACTGCTGCCGCACAGTGCCAGGAACCTGGGTTCAATCTCAGCCTTGGGTGACTGTCTGTGTGGAGTTTGCACGTTTTCCCTGTGTCTGTGTGGAGTTTCCTCCCATAGTCCGAAGATGTACAAGTGAGGTGGATTGGCCATGCTAAATTGCCCATAGTGTTTAGCAATTTGTAAGTTAGGTGGATTAGCCATGGGAAATGCAGGGTTATAGGGATAGGGTAGGGGGATGAGTCTGGGTGGGATTTTCCTTGGAGAATTGGTGTGGTTGTGTTGGGCTGAATGGCCTGTTTCCACACTTTAGGGATTCTGTGAATGTCCTGGATCTTTTGTATTTACCTGAGAGAGGAGATGGACCTCAAGCTCAACATCTCAGCTGGAAGACAGGGTGGTATTCCTTCAGTATAACACAGGCTCATCAGTCATGAATATGTGCTTAATCCTTTGGAGTAGGCCAGAAGCCCACAGTCTTTGTTTGGCTGGAACAAGTGGGCAACAGTGTTCCTGAATGAGCCAACTTTTGACACATGTGGGATTGTTCTGAAGTTTCAGGAACTCAAATCTATTTATTATAATAGTGATGGTTACTTAAGGTATTTGCATTACAGAGGAAGCTTATTGAATTTCACTATCATCACTTATCAAGAGAAATTTACTCAGCTGTAATTTACTTTTCTTTTATAATGATCTCCACCATTTTCATGGTTTTCTTGATAATCGTTTGAATCTTCATTGAAGCATTGTCCCACTTGCTGTCTCTGGTATCTTGCCAAAGGGCTATTGTTTGTGTCTGACTCTCAATAGTCGGGGCCAACTCACTGTTCAGCAATGGAATTCTGTCATGACCAAACTCAATACACTCTTGCATGAACATTTTAGTGTTGCTGGATGACAATTATTCTTCTGTTGTACTGCCAGCATTCTTCTGTAGTCTGGGCTTTTGGCGATTTGCAGTGGATCTCAGCTGCGAGTGCTTCTTTGATGAAACTGCTGTTTGCTCTGTTCATTCTGACAGCCCTCAAGTTCTTGAATGCTAAGTTTATTCTGCAGACCCATCAGATCTACCCTGTGAAATATACTGGGTGCACTGGAGTCTATTCTGGTCTGACCCTTTTAAGAAATACCAAATAGACCTCTTTCATAATTCTACTCTCCTTCTCAGTTTTCTGAGGGCTGTGTATAGTTTCTAATCTGAAATTGGAAGAACAGGAACAGTCTTAAGGGTAAGCAGAAAGAGAGAGAGGTAAAAACTGCTGCCATTGGTCATGCTGAATGTGCAGAGTGATAGGGAGTGGGAAGGGAAGAAAAAAGGTGAGCCACACAAAGTATCTGTAGGACCCATCCTACAATCTTACAAGTGGCCACTATCATAATTCAAACCCTGCCTATGATGTCCAGGATGTCCTCCTCAAGTGGGCATAGGATATGGATGTCATGTCACCCTCCTCCTGTGCCCAGCTAATTCTTTGTATTATGTGCCAATTTGTCTTCTAAGATGGAAGGGAATGTGTTGTTGGTATCCTAATGAGATGGTAGACGTATCATGGTCAACAGTGGGAATAGCAGCAGAGCCCTGGGGAAGTGATGATTGCAATCAAGTAGGAGCAGCAGAGTTGATTTTATCCAGTTATTTATAGAATTCCGATAGTGCAGAAAAAGGCCATTTGTCCCATTGAATCCCTCTGAAGCGCTAACTCTTGCCTTGCCACTTGTCAGGCCCTCTTTGGTAACTCACAATGTAGTAACAATCCCCTCTGCCATGGTATCAGGCCTACCATTCAATTTCAGACAAGTGTGCAGTGTCTGTGGCAGATTCTATTCAGCTATCAGTTACTGTCCCTCTAAGAGGTACAAGGTTGCTTTTTTATAGTCCTGATTAAGTGAGTTGCCAGTGAACAAACTCAGTAAAACTGACGTATTACATGCATCATGTTACTGAGACACAATTTCTCCACTTAACAGCACGTACCTACCTATTCAGGCTGTGGATCCAGTATTCGATCAACACCTAGAATTGAGCATGTTACATTTTCTACTCCATTATGTTTATTTTGTATTATATTGATCTTGCAACAGATTTCAGAACTTGTAAAGAGAATTGAGGAATCTATCAGAGAGCAGGAAAGAAAGATCAAGTTTAGTCGGGGACAGAACAGTGAACAGCCCCACCTGCTGGATATTGGGTGAGTGCACAACTCATGCTTCAGTATGGAATAATTTGTATGAAAACCCAGCAATAATTTCAAGCACTTGGCCGTATGGTAACAAGGAAACATCTTGAGTCCCCTTTCAACACACCCTCTCCCATGAAAATCCCTAAGAATCTTGCACCCTTTCAGGATTTGGTCTGTCCTTGCCCCCTCTCACTTTCCTTAGAGCTATAAGTTCTTACATCAGTGGATCTTGCTATACAGTCTACCTGTTTCACTTGTGCAAATTTGGGAGACTATTCAGAAATGAGAATCATTTTCTGAGTTTAGAACAAAATGTCTACAGAGTTTCTTTATTAGAGATTAATTTAGTACTGAAAGATACCATTGTAATAATGTAATATTTGCACTCTCATGAGTGAACAGACTTTATTAGATGTAATTCTTTAAAAGGCATGGAAAGAGAGCATATCCAGCTGGATCCTTAAAGACTCAGGTTCCAGCTTCATGTGATCTGAAGTCACTATGATATCACTTGTTTTGCATATACTCAATAGCTGCTTTTACTGTAGCGATATAATTAACCTTTTACTTGACATCTCTCTCCTAGATTTTTATGATACCCTATTTAACGATTAATGCTTAACCATGAACATTAAATTTTTTATTCCCACTTTCCTCCCCACTCCCTGCCCCAAATAAGTCTCTTTGGCTTAAGGCAATAATTCCCAACAGTTCTCTAAGAGCATGGATAGGATGCATGGGCTGACTTCTTGTTTTCTGGGAGGGTGAGTGCAGGGTTAGTGTGGCATGGCAGATTATCTGCACACAAGAACATTTCTGGAACTCCAGTAGAAAGTAGAAGAGCATCATTGTAAGTGAGGAAATAAACTTGTGGACTGTGACCTATGAGAAGTTCCTGAACAGCATTATGGTCTGCAGGATGGACGGCTGCTTTCCCATGTATTTCTAGGCTTTTCATTTGTCAAAGGGTTGCCATTATACTGCAAGTGATCTCCATGCTTAGCAAGTGTTTGCTTCTCCCTTCTGTTCACTTAAAGGAAGATTTTTGTGTCTTCTCTCAAGAGTGTCTTTCTTAAACTTAAGATCATCATGTTTAATAGCAGGTGTAAGTTTTCCTTAACTAATAGTTCATGGTAATCTTGGAAATCTGAATGTTTCTATGAAAGAAAGACATTTCCTCCGTCCATATATCGCTTTCTTGTGTCAACTGTGTGAGAACATCGGCAGTCTCTGCAGGGAATTTCAGGAGTTCCACTGCAAGCTTTTCTTCTTCAGTCTACTAGGGTAGGTTGAGTTGTATGGCCACTCATAGCTGGGCTTTGAGGTCAGCAGCCTCTTTAAGATAATTTCATTTCTGCAATTCTTGTTGAACCTTGATTGTTCAAGGTCCTTTAGATTCTCAACTTCAAGTTCTGCCAAGGCATTTTGCATCTCTCAAAGATCTACTGTTTAGTTCCTAGTTGTGGAGTGAGTAAAATCTCAAGTAAGTGCATGGTATATTGATGCAATATGTTTGTACATTCCAGCTGCTAGCTATGCAGCTCAATGATTTCTGAATGTTGACTGTTGGTAAAATCAAATTTGGACTTAAGCATATCCTTTTCCCTGATAGATCTTTATTACTTGCTTGTAGATGGCAAACTTCCTTTTGATGTGCATTTCTAATGTCTGGTTTGTTTTCCTCTAAAAATGTCAAGTTAGTGTTGATGTTTTCTGGCATTCTTACAGAGCTGTGTTGCATGTAATTAGCTTCTACCCATGTAAGTGGGACATTCTCCACCCAGCTTGGTATCAATGTCCATGAATCTATTTTGGAGCTGTGAGACCTCTTTCTTGCATTGATTAAAGATCTTTCTCTAATTCTGTGGACCAGGACACCTCAGATGTGTGGGCACTTTGGTAACCATAGAATTATTGTAAGCTTCATTTGCTTCCATTAGTGATTGAACTGGTGTGAGGTTTTGTTTCTGCTTCTCTGAATTTGCTTGGCCTTCCACACAGGAAGGACTGTCTCAATCAAATGACAGTTGCAGTTGATGCATCTCCTTAGTAGGTTCTATGAAATAAATCGACAACTTTTCCTCTTTTTTTACCTTCTTCAAAAAAGGATGATTCTCAAAAAGACTCTGCAGGAACTCCAGGGATAGTGACACCCAAATCAAAAAGCAGCGGGAATGCTACATCCACTAAATGGACAACAATGAATAGTAGGCACCTTCTCTGTTATTGCATCCTAAAGAACAAATCAAGGTGCAGAATGTCTGGTGTCTGATCAACTTTATCTTCTGCAACCTTTTGTTTGGCCATTTGAAACTTCTCTTTTCAGAGAAATGAAGAGTCTATATTCCCATTTTGTCAACAAACAAAGTATCTGGAGTGTCTGTAGCAGAGGGAAATTCCATAACTATATTTCCTTATTGTCAATGATGTTCTTCTTCTTTCTAATGGATTTTCAGAAATTTTCTTGCCTGCTGATAATCTGCCATCCCATTGTAACCCTGCACTCACCCCACCCCCCCAGAAAACAAAAAATCAGCTCATGCATCCCATACATCCTCTAAGAGAACTGTTGGAAGTTGAATGAACTTCAGTGTCTCTGGTTTCTGCTAACCATAGATTGTTTAAAGCTGCATATGCAGCTTAATATAATAAAGAAGTGTAAGGCTTAGGAATGACATAAAGGGCTTTTATGATCTCTCTTTCATTGTTGCAAGATGTAGCATACACCTACCCTTTCACTCTGATCTTAATATTAAAATGAAATGGTAGATATTCTGAGAATTTCTGGCCTTACTATAGTGTGACCTCTGAAAGAATCAATACATCCTCCCCACATCCAATTTAGAATCAGTTTCCTTACCATTAACCAATATATCTGCATATCAGAATTCATCTATGCAAATCCAGCAATGATCCTGGCAATACTCCAAGAAGAGTTCATTCTGTCCCCTATGTCAGCGGACGGCTGTGGTCTGTGTTTAATTTTCTGTGCTGCTGCTGCATCTGTGTCATTATCTTTCTCTTGGCACTCACAAGTACTATAAAACCGGCTAGTTTGAGTTACCATTAGTGGGATGGCTTAATGACATTGACTGTGCCCTTTTGCTTCATACACTTGCTGTTAGTAGGTTTTCTGAGTGTTTGTTTATTTTCCCATCCCTGTGTGCCTCTGATTTAAGGTAGTGTTTATTCAGTGCGGCCAAATGACTTTTCCTTGATGCTTGCCACACACACTGATGTGGGCTTTCTCCTGCACTTTTCCAGCTTTTGCATTGGTTTCTCCTCTACAATTCAGTGCTTAGGTGGGCCTTGAAGTCCGTCATTCAGTGTTTCCTGTTGCCGCTGAGCTTCTGTTCAGGTATCTCCTCAGCTTCTGGAGTAGATCATTGGGCTGGCCTCATGATTTACCCATGACAATATACTGTAACTGGGCTAAACTTCAGGCAGTTGCCTCCGGTGTTGTGGGCCAGGTTGCCATTGCAACCTTGTGGTAAAGTGATGTCCACACTCTTATGAGTGGATATTAAAAGGCTTTATTAAACACAACTAGATACAAGGCATGGTAAGATAAACATCTTGTTGAAACCTTACACATTAGGTTCCCGTTACATGTGATCTTTTCAGAGCCCTTTTCACAGATGCTCACTAGCTTTTCGTGGAACAAAGGTATAATTAACCCCTTACCATACAGCTATTTTAATTTATTAGAGCTGTTAGGTTTTCTCAACAATCCAACAGCTTTGTGGGTGATTTTGGAGATATTGGCTTTTTATTTATATTTATAAACTACATTTGACTTCTCAAACTGCAATGACAAGATTTGAACTTGTCCTTTGGATTTTTAGTCCAAGAGCATAACATGCAGTTCTCTAGATGACTTCTTAAGTAAATTGGTGAGAATGATTAAGGTATGTCACAGTTCAAAATGGATATAACCTCAATAGATCCAATCTAAAGTGTCGCCTGAACCTTTTTCATTTCCCATTTTCTTCCAGTAGCCTGAAAATGTCAGAAGTTAACTTTGATAGGATGAGGAGCATAACTGAAGACATTAAGAATCAGGCTTTGTCCATTTGCTTCCGTTTGGAACAGAAACTAGCTAGAAAGGAGCAGGAATTGTTACATCAAATGGAACTGATCTCCCTCACCGTGAAAGATAAAACTGTAAGTATTACACTAAGAACAGAAAATGTAGATATTCAGCTTCAAGTTGTTTCATAGCTGAGCTGTATAATGTTACAATGCAATGTTAACATTATTTCCAGAGTTACTTTTGACATTTTTGTGGTGACAATGTTTGTTGACAGTAGTCAGGGAGAACATTGGATGTTAGAAGAACGGAGTATTGAGAGACGTAAAAACCAAGTTGTCAAGTTAGTAAGCACCACATTCCACTAGACCACTGGATGTGTGAGAGATTTATCAGAGTTAATTATAGGTGTTATACATAATCAACATTTATATATGCACATTCATTTTGTGACTTCCATTATGAAGAATAACACCAGAGCTTTTAAGTACATTATGTAAGCAATGACAATGCTACAGTGAATAATTATTAGTTTATGTGCAATTTAGGAAGATCATGAGATTATTTTATAATGGGCCAGAGATGATACATTTGAAATTTTCAGGTAGCTCTGTGTGTACATTAGATAGAAATACATAGAGTATGCAATACATTAAACAAATAATTCAGCCCCCAGATGGTCAGCTTGCTATTCCTTTTATCCTTATGAATTCATGCAGCTTGCCTCTAAATGCATCCGGTCTGTCTGTTTCAGTTATTCCCTGTGGTAGCTGAAAATATACTCAATATGTATATAGTCTGTCTGCTTCATCAGTGATGTAACAAAATACATCACAGCAGACTCAATTACAGAAATAGATAGATGGTTCTGTGTTCAACCTCATGCTAAGCCTTATTTTGTAAATAGTTAAAAGAATGTTGAATTAAAGGTAAACCTACTTACAGTCTATTGTCCAATGTTCTCTATGACCCTGACCAAGAACACAACCACTGCAATGATAAAAGAAGCTATGAGCACAGATTCTAGCCAATCTCTGAATAAAGTTTGTCCTGTCTTACATGGAACATAGCACAGGAATAGGCCCCTCAGCCCACCATGTCTTCCTTATTGGATTTACTAGTCATTATTTTATATCTATAATGCATTAACTTGGATTACGCCACAATTAGTAATTTAGTTTGTTAATTTGTAAGTAATTAAGTTCCTTAATTAACAGTGTCTACCATTGTATCTTTTGTAATTGAATGAAGCTAAAGGCTAATGTGCGTAGGTCAGTGCTACATGTTGCTGTCATTGTACAATACTGAAACCTTCAAAAAGCAGGTGTATTCTCATGACTGACTGTCAGCTTGCTTGCTGTAATGGATACGTGACTTTGTGTCCATGTTAGGAAAACAGTGAAAAATCCATAGAGGAGAGGCTTAACCAACTATCCATGAAACTTGACAAAATAGAGGCAATACAAAAAATGAACTCGGAGATTTACAGCATAAAAAATGTTGAGAAGAAACTAAGTCTGATCATAATAAGCATAGAAGAGAAAATGTGGAAAGAAATAGACAACATTGAAGCTGCGACTAACGCTGGTGAGATAACATCAGTGTTTGCATGGTTCCATCATTTACACATGATTTAACTTCACATTTGTTTCAAAATTGTAAGTTCTCTTCCTCTGTGTCCAGTCTTATGTTATGAAATGGTCAGGTTACATTTCTGTAGGTACCAACAGCCCTTCTAAAACTTTGCTCATCATGTGAACCTATTTGAAAGGTTATAGAAAAACTGTTTGACCATGTGTAGCATCACAGCTGAAATCAGCCTTGCCTTCAAATATCTACATACTGATGCCTCCCAGGAGGGACACTCCTGAATAATACTGAGGAGTGAGAAATATCAGTAATTTTTTTTCACTCCCTAGCCAAAAAATGCAAAAGCCATTTAAAGGAAATCAACTGCGATCTGAGGAGATCATTCCAATTCAGCTCAACCTAAGGGATCAAATTTGGGATCACTATGTCTGAATACTTCAACAGGATAAGGCATACCTTTATCCTCTGGGCCATTGAATAGATTGTTCAGACTAAATCTGTGTCTGTCTTGTGACAAGAACATTAATTCCGATCACAATTATTGAATCAGATTACTGCTAATATTGTTTATTAGCATCAACTTACACAAATTCAAATTGAAAACAGAAATACTCAGTAGGCTTGGCAGCATTTATGGAAAGAGAAACAGAGTTGGTATTTTAGGGCAAAAACCTTTATCATGAAACATTAACTCTGTTTCTCTCTCCTCAAATGCTGCCAGACCTAGTCCTGAGTTTTTCAAGTATCATCTGTTTGCATTTCACACAGAATTTTACTGCTGTTTAATCAAATGTATATGTTAGAAAATTTTCAAATATTGTTTGTATCCACAGCACTGGATGTGGTGTTTTACACTTCTAATGGTTTGTCTTTCATTATTAAGGGTTTTCAGCTATTTATGATAGTATTGGATCCTTAAAACACATACTTGAAGCAAAAATGAAGCAGGATAAAGACAAGTTGCAGAAACAGATTCATCAGATTAAGCAAACCATGGATTCCATTCCTCTGGAGCAGAGTTCATAACATAATCACTGTCCATAGTATACATCATTCTAGACATTGCCCAATGATAGTCGGAAACCATTACCTTTTTAGATGATTAAAGCTATTTGATGCAGCCTGAGAAGAGGTATTAGTAAATGCTGATATCTAATATGTAAAGTTAACCAAGTATGTCAGCAAAGTAGCTTCATCTGAGCATTGTATATCAAACACAATGTGCACCTTTACCCCAATAAAGTAACTTGTGTGTATGTGTCTATAAAATTTCTGGTGCATAAGATGTTTTAATGGGATGAGATGGATTGAGAATTTAAAAACAGACCAAAAGTAGCATGGTTACACGGTGAACAGGGTTATTTGTGCCTTTCTTGTATATGCCATTATATGGGTTTACGATATTTATGACATAATTCCAGAAGCCGTTTAGAAGTTCCAAAAGCTACATAAATTTTGAAAATTGTGCCTTATGTAATTCTAGTCTCAGTTAGCAACTTTCGACAACACTGGGGCTAGAAATACATTTGTCTTACATTTGGGTGTGAGGAGTTCTGATTCGCAACCTGTCAGAAATGATTTGGACAGCATGCAAAATTTGCGTACTCCCTCTTTTCTTGAATGTAATGTAACCATGAGTGGCCCCAGCACTGCCTTAGACTCCATTGTACTTTTCAATCTTCTCTAAGCAGCAGTAGAGTGGGGGAAGGTGGACTGAATAGCTTTTTGAAGAAATCATATTTTCAGTTTTTAAAGCAACAGTACTATTAAAGACAAATTACAGCAATGTACCACAGACTGCTGGATTTTTGAGTTACTAACCAGTGGATTTTCTGTGTGCCTTAAGTTAATAATTAACTTGTAAGTATTTCCGTAACTGTGGTGACTTCTTTCAAAACAGTTCTTGAGGCTTGGCTTTAGATTTATGAATGGGTTTATGCATATCACTCATGGACTTTTGTTTATTTTAGATTGCTTTGTGACCCAGTGAGGTAAATAATAGAGCTTCAATGTTTGTTAAAGACTTCTGGAACTTGGCTTGTAAGCTTTAGGGAAAGATTCTTAACACTCCCTTAGAGATGGAGACTTTGGATTTTTGTTTTTACTTAGGGTGGGGCAGTCTTGTGAAGCCCTTGAAATGGGATGGCTGTATCAACCCATGATGCTGAGAAGAGAAGGACATACAGTGAACTAGATTGCCTGAGAATGAGGATTTGTGTTAGTCCCAGACCAGAAGTGTTGGGATAAAACTATTAAGAGGTTACTTAAAGCTGAGGAAATTGAAACTGAGGTGTATGATTGCTCCAGGAAGAATCTATTTGAGTTCCAGTCTAAAAGTTGAAGTCACAATGACTTAAACCTACCAAGGCATTAAATATAGGAGTTGTGGTGTGAGTATTGTATGAATGGTATTCTGGGTACAATTGAGAATCCATTTTATTTCAATTTATGAAGGAGTTTTTGAGATTAATGAAATTATATTTTACTGTGTTTAAAAATCTTTGAATTTGAATTACATGTAGATAGTTTATTCTATTTTATCTTAGTTTCTATTGTTAATAAACTTTTGTTTAATTAAAACGAAGACTGCAACAAAGTGTGCCTATGTTTCAGCAAGAGATACAATGTTAAAATCAAAACAAACCAAAATTTGATCTATCAAGCCAGTTTACTGTATGGGATCTGACTTATTCAGTAAGAACATTGGTTAAGATCATAACATTGACTAGGCTATAAGGGAGTGTGACACCAAAGTTGATTTATATTTAAATGTCATGGATTTAAGGATTGTGATCAAGAGCTCTAAGTATCCCTTCCCAATGGAGGTATTTCTGCCATTTTATCTTCACCACTTCAACTCCCCAATCCCCCACCCACACTCTTCCCTCACCACCACCTTCATAATCCATCTGTAGTAATTCTGGTTTGCATGGAAGTTTTCTGCATTTAGTTCTTCATCACAATATATTTTATTGTTTTGAAGGGAAGATCGCAGGCTCCATCCCAAGCTAGATCAACCTTCTATTTGTACTTTCATCCAGCAAAGATGGTATAACATTCACAAACGGAAAATTGTACTCAATGACATCTTAAATTTTCTGGGATAGTTGAAGATTGCTTTATAATGTTTGCTTTTACCAGTCTAAGTAGGATAGAACATTTTTTAAAAATTGCACCATCACCTCAGTTTGAAAACAAATTGGCATTTTTAAATTTAAGGTAGAATTTTTAAAAAGTGAGAGAAAAGGGAATCAGACGAAGAAGTCATCAGAAATTATGTAGGTGCAGGTAATATTCCTAGGATTTTGCAATATGCAGATTTACAATATGCTAATTAGCCAAGGATCTAAAATAATAAAACATAGCCCACAATGTTGTGCCGACCTATTATCCTACTAAGATCAATCTACCCTGCATACCCTACATTTTACTATCCTAAATAGATAATTAGAAATATGATTAAGCTAACATAAGGGCACAAAGAACCAAATAAAGTAAGCCACAGCTGGTGGATAAAGTTCTTTGTGCTGTTTCATTATTAGAAACTGGCCAGATTTTATTTTAGATTAGTTCCTGACCATTTGATGTGTAGAAATTGACTCTCTTGATTTAATTATTGTACTTGTTTTTAGGAGCTAAACATTACCAGATAAAACATTTGTCAATGATCACACATAAATCCTTGAAGTTCTGCAGAACAGGTATATAAGATGATTAAAAAGACAAAATAATTTCCTTTATTATCTGAAGTATAGACGATAATTGTGGGATGGTTATGCTACAGTTGTACAAAACATGTTAGGCAACATTAGACTTCTGTACACTCCTAGTCATTGCATTACAGGACCAATGTGATCATGCTAGAAAGAGTACAAAGGAGATTTACAAGAATGTTGTCAAGAAAGGAGAATTTTAGTCATGAGCAAACATCAGATCAACTTTTTTGTGACAAAAAGAAAGCTGAAGAGTATAATGATTGTAACGAGGTCAGCCAGGTGGACCTCATAGAATACGACTTCCTTAATTCGGTTGGTTAGTCTGGTCAGGGAGCCCTGGCTGACAGATAGATAAGGGAGTGTCAGACATCCTGTTCACTATGAGAGCTTACTCTGACGGAGCTGGATCAGTGTCAAGGACTCTCCACGTGTAAATAAAGGGTGACTTGGTGATGGGATACTGGCCTTTGTGGAATTATTTCAAAGGGAGCTTTAATTAAAGTATGTAAAATTATAAGAGGACTAGATAAAATGGATGGGGCAAATATCCCTAAGTGAATATGTTAATAACCACAGGGAATAGATTTAAATTAATCAGGAGTAGCGGAAAGTTAAGGAGAACGTTTTTTTACCAGAATGTGGCCGAGGGTATGAGACTCACGGGACAAATGTGTGGTAGAGCAAGAGACTATTATCACTTTAAAAAATACCCGGATTATGCACTTGACTGTCATAACCTATGAACTGCAAAGTGAAATAAAACTGAATAACTCACAGACAGGATGAATTGAAATGTCTCCTTTGGGGATGTAAATTTTCAATGTTTCTAAGTGACATTCTAGATTTCAGCTCACAGTCTATGTTTTGGTAGTTTATTTAATGATGGCAAGTCCTTCATAAGTCACTGGATAATATATAGGAATGGGAATCTTGGTCTGTTTTGATCTTCTTACCCCAGAAACACTAATGCCCACTTGAAGCACCCCATAACTCTTCTAGCTGAAGTCAGCTGAATGGCCACTCAAGATGGGTGGGAAACGTGTCAGACATGTACGCAAATTACATCTGGGACCCTAAAACACTGATTGATTGCAAAGGACTGAGCGTTGGAACGCACTTAAAGGTTTAAAGAAAGCCTTTTACATTTTGAACAGTGTATAAGATGTTTGTTTTATTTGTATGTAGAAATTAATGATACAACATGGTAAGAATTTCAGCTGCATTGAGCTCTTTTGGATTTGCCCACTTATCGGTATTCTTTGTCTGCTTTCCTCTCTTCTGCGCAGTCTTTATACATGTAAGAACATTGTGCATGAACATTTTATTCAGTGCAAAATACCTGCTTCAAATCTCTGCTGGATAAGAAACAGAAATTATATGTGTCACAAGGCAAACTTATCAGATCACTCTGTTCCTCAAGTACTGAACAGGTTCCCAGCAGCTGAAAAATACACATACTGCACTACAAAAGTACAAGTATTGGAAGTATCAAAATTATGATGTTGTGGAGAAAGAAAAACCTCACTGCTGGGTGTTAGGTGATATTTCATCCTATAACAATGACTCAAGACATCCGGAATTCACCTATCAGTCTGTCACTGTTCGAATGGTCATTTATTTAAGTATTTAAGGGATTTTCCTTAGCTCAATGAAGGCAGATTTGTCACGAAGGCAGAAGGTTAGAGATTCAGAATCCCACTAGAAAGTAATGGGAATTGATTAGTTCAGTTGGCTGAGTGACTGGTCTGTAATCCAGATTGATACCAACAGTGTGGGTTCAATTTCTGCACTGACTGAGGTTACCATGAAGATCCCACCTTCTCAGCTGTGCCCCTCAATTGAGGCATGGTGGCTCTCAGGTTAAACCACCACCAGTCATCTCTCTTTAATGAGACAGCAGCCCTCTGGGAGTATGGTAACTTTACAAAACACATAGATAAAAAATAACAAAGAACTGTGGATGCCAGAGATCTGAAATACACAAAAACAGAAATTGTTGGAGAAACTCAGCAGGTCTGTCAACAGTTACATAATCTAGAGTGACATATTACTGACGTATTGATTGAGTGTAGCATCGTCTTTCATATGAGGCAGGAAAGTGAGGTGGCTGTAATAATTCTGTGGCACTATTTGAAGAAAGCAGGTGAGTTATTCCCAGTCTCCTCTCTAAGACAGACAGCTTCAAGATGGAGAAGTCATTCATGAATCAGCTAAAGATGGCCCTCTTAAAATCAAACTGAGTTTTAGTGAGCAGGTTATTTCTTTACAAATGCCGCTTGATGACACTGTTGACACTGCGTCTATCACTTTTCTGATGATTCAGAGTTGACACGTAAGGTGATTATTGGCCAGATAGAATTTGTCCGGCTTTTGTGCTCAGGATTTGCCCAGCCATTTTTTAAAACATATGGTAGATTACTGGGGTCACACACTGTCATTGAGCCCCACTGTTCCCAGTGTTATACCAAATGCTAAAGTTGTTTTTTTAAAAATACATACAGTACCCCAAGACACCTGATTTCCAGATCAAGATTGATAGAAAGCATGGACCAGGTTTCTATACTGCACAAGAATTATTATTTATTACAAGCAAATAGACTAAAGCTACATTGGCATTTAATACTGCTAACTAAAACTCTAATCCCTGTATAAACTCCCCCTTATCCACACAGAGAGATGAATAAATAGGGGAAATAGGTTATTGGCAGAGGTAGGAAGACTGGAAAGTTGGTTCAGTGGTCTTTGGTTCCTGGTTCTGCTGATGAGATGATCCATCTTCAGTGACTAGACCCTTTGTTCAGATATTACTCTGGCTGTTTCCACTGGACTGAAAGAAGTACAGATTGGCTGGTTCACTGAAAAAATTGATCTATTGATTCAAAAGTCAGTTTACAGCAACTGCTGCAAGAAAGCTAACTGGTTATCTTCAGATGCCACATAGGGGCGTATCATGCAATTCCCATGGTAATCTTGAAAGGCTTCTAAGTTTGAGATTTCTTTAATTTGCATGGATCTCAAATTCAGTTTTGATACATGCATTTTTTGAAGACTTAATATATTCATCCTTTGTATCATTTTAATTTCACACTTAACATATTGTGCGACTGATCATATACTATTTATGTTTCACTTTAATCTCCCTCACGCTAACCACTATGGAATGATAACAAACTGTTAGGTATACATTGCAACTTCAGGTAGCAAATTCTTGAATGAAATGCATACATGACATTAGAATGTTTTGTTTACCCCTCATGTGTGTCCCGCCATTCAACAAAATCATGGTCAATCAGTTATTTATACACACCTTTGTGCCTTATCATTTAATACCTTTGGTTAACAAAAATCTATAAATCTCCATGTTAAAATTAATAATTAATCTAGCATAATTTGCTGTTTGCAAAATATGAATTATTTGTCCATATTTCATACTTACAAGTGCAATTGACAATGAGATCAGTAAAGACCATGTATTAGATAACGCGTTTTCACAGCACAAACATAAATTAAATTTCCAAAATATTATGTATAAATTGGTTGCCTCTTGACACCCTTCGGAGCTTTTGAGCTAAAACCTATGATACAGGTGGTACTACAGTGTGAATGTGGGTGGTGCAACATTCAGAAACCGAGTCAATTGCTACAAGGTTTTAAGACAACAAAAGCATCTGCTCAGTAAGTGAAGATAATGACAGAGAGGATCTTCAGTGAAAGATGTTACAACAGTGC